TCTTTGGATTCTCAGCATTGAATCGTGTACAATAATTTAGCACGATAGTTGTATAATTTGATATTTTTGCACGCCTCTGAATTTGCATAAATGTTAGCACAATTAAAGATTGTTTAGCCAGTTTTACTCCACTTTTATTTGTTGACTTTTTTTACCATATGTCGAAGCAAATTAAAGCAATTTCTCCTTGTATGATTTTTATACTAATGTTTAACACTTAATAGATTCTTTAATTAATTTAAGCAACATCTGTTTTAATATTTGGTAATAATATAAAAATAGAAATAAATATTTTGACATCATCTATCCACTATTTTCCTAATTCACTATTTTGGTCGAATGTTATATTACTAAACTGTCCCTAGGGATAAGCAAAACAAAGAACATACCGTCCACTGAATTCTTCCTAAAATAAACAGATTTTCATGTTTTTAATGATTTTTACAGTTTGGAACTGAACACTTTTTTTGAGACATGAGGGTACGGTGTGCATCTTGGATATTTCTAGTATTGGTTATTATAGAATTAGCAGAATTCTTTGCTTGAAATAATATTAGTGTACGACATCATGATGCAGATTAAAATGATATTAGAAGTTTTAAGAGACAAGCTACTTAACGTCCCTTGGGACAATTAAGTAAAATAACGACCCGCTCGGCGATGTTTTGGTGGAAATATTCACATTTTTTATCTCAAAACGCGATAAAATAGTTAAAAACTACTTTTTCGGGACATTACAAATTCTACTTAACCCCGGGTTCCCTTAACTTTCCTGCAGGAAGTGGAACCCTTGGTAAGATACTTCTACTTCTACTTCTACTTCTACTTCTACTTCTACTTCTACTTCTACTTCTACTTCTACTTCTAACCTAAAGTAAATGTAAAACTTGATCTCTAAAGTCTTCTTTGTTGATGAACACCATGTTTGTCGAGTGTAGTCCAAATATATTTCCAAACATGGTATTTCAACTAAATATACAAGTATTTAATTACTTTACTACAATAAGATCAAGATCTAGATAAATCACACAACTATTCAAAAATAAAAGCCCATGTCATTTTAGGAATTTTATTACATGGATGTAAATTTTTAGGGTAATCCTTTCTTTTTTCATATTTAATCTAATTTTTTTTTTTGAAAGGTAATAGAAATAAAAAATTCATCATTTGTATGAAGTACAGTTATGCAAAAAATGAATAATGTTATGTAAAAAGTAAATTTACTGAATTATCTTTAAAATTGCAAATCCTAATGTAGTGAATTCTTATAAGAATATTATTCTCATTGAAATTCAAACATTACGTTCCTAAGTCTAAGGGTGAAAATTGCAAGTGCAATTAAATTCAAAACGCTGAAATTTTCAGTCAGAAGCGTTTATTAAGGACTTTTTTACAAATAAAAAAAATCTGGTAATTTGACAAAATGCTGAAACTTTCTTTGTCCAATTTTTATAATTAACAATATAAAAACAATCATTACACTGACGGTAGTAAATTTCTAATGAAAAGGTTTTTTTCTTGTGGGGATATTTATCTCCCCCCCCCCTCCACGCACCTTGTATTTGTATGTATATTGTATAGTAAGTGTATTAGAACACATGAACTTTAAACTAATGGTTAATTGATGATCTTATCTTACATATGGTTTAATTATGGTTCAATCGTAGATTAAGAATTTTTTATCCATGGAGTTTACATCAGAGAAGTCAATACAGGAAAAATTTTGAAGAAAAAATTTCATCAATTTTTTTGTATTTTTAAATTTCTGATAAGTTTTAACTGTGTTTCCCTTGTAATTGAACTGCAGTCATGTATATATATATTTATATATAGTTACAAATGACTGTAGATATGAACTGTGGTTATTGATTGACAAGGTTGAATAAGTTGAAGGTTTCTGGAATTCATCTCCAGATCGGAGAACAGTAAATATCTGTATATTTGTTGGTTTTGGAGCCGACACTGTTATCTAGTATTATACAGTTCCTGGAACCAAACTTTACATGGAGAAGAGGGATTAGGTTGTTCTAACCCAATCCTGGACATCTTACTCCAGGAGGGATTGAGAGCACTCATGTATGGTTCTGCAAACGTCAGGTTTAATCTGGAATTGATTTCCTCAGGGTTGGAAGAAGTAGTGAATTTTCTTGGATTTTGTAAAAAGAACTGGATTGAATTTACTCCAGGTTGGGGTTGAAGAACTAGCGTGTATCTTTAAATATTGGGTCAAATTCCCCAGCGTCACGCCTCACTCTTTTTCCATCCCCNNNNACGTAATATTTGACTGTTTGCAACCTTGCTTGCTCCACTAGACCAATTCCAAATTTTTATATTTCGTGATAAGCTGGTCCGTCCCTGGTTCATCCCATCCCAGCAACTGTATATGCTAAACCTGGTATTCAGTATATCAGGCAGTTCAAATTTTACAAATTATACAGAATATTTTTAGATTCGCGGGTTTCAACCATTTTTCTTTATTTTCAATTCCTTCCCAGTCCTCAACACAGTATTCCTGCTTAGATTCCCTTAAGGAATCATGGGTGTTTGCCACAAACTCAAATTTTCTAATCCTTATATATTTTGAACCTGCTGATGTATACCTTAGATTATTTATCTAACAGAATTCATAGTTTTAAATATCGAAGTTCTATGACATTTGGTTAAAAATGTACAGAGAATAAAAAATCAAATACTGTGCCAAAGACTCAATTCCTTTGTTTTTTTGTTTAGTCCCTTCTCCAATCCTCCTCCTCCCTTCTCCCATCCCCCCCTGACTCCCCTCCTCTCATCTGCTGGTAAACCATGATGTTAAGCCTGTAAGTATTTTAGTGGTAAATATGGTATACAGAGTAATTAGTAGTCAGGCAGGTGTACTCCAGGTACTCCAGTATATATATAAGGTACTTAATCAGTTTAATTCTACACCTGGATACAACCATCCATAATCCATATATATACAAATATAGAATATTCTGTTCATAAATATGTTTAAACACCATACACTAAATAGCAGCCTTCTTCGAGGAGATAACCCCTGATTCATGTAATAAACTTTTATTAACATTTTAAAAACTGAAATTAATAGATTTAGCTGTAATTAAAAACTGTATTGTTAGTTCTTGATTCCATAATTAATCGTTTTCCAATTATCTAAACCTTCAATGTTTATAGTTTTCTGGTTTAAAACGTATACTTTTAAACCAGGTGGTGTCTAGGTTATATCATTAAATAGGAAATTTAAAGATATTTTTGCACAGCTGTGTATTGCTCCTGTCATTGTAAATCTAAAATTTAGCGTTTGAAGCTTAATTTTCCTTATATTTAAAACTGGAAAAAATAATATCTTTCTCCATATGTATTGTGTAAAACCAAGTGTAATGATTCTAATTTGTATCCAGCAGTTGTATAGTGTATGATTCATGAGGAACCCTAATCTAGATATTCTAAGCTTAATTATGATAAAACTGCTCCCAACATTAAACCAGTGCATTTGAGAACCTTTATTAACCAACCCCGGAGAACTTATATTAACCATTCTTGTCTCACCCCTTTAATCTTGCTTTTTATATCCGCCCTCGATCCAGGTCACGCAAAAAGGCAAAAATAGGGTTTCTAGCTTCTCGTAATTTATGTAATTGAGCAGTTCTCCGAACCGGGAGTTATACACGCGGATAGTTTCAAATACAACTTGGATAGATGTAAAGTATAAACCTGGATAGATATTAAGGATAAACCTGGATAGATATGAAGGATAAACTTAAATAGATATGAAGGATAAACTTGAATAGATATGAAGGATAAACCTGGATAGATTTGAAAGATAAATCTGAATAGATATGAAGGATAAACCTGGATTGATATTAAGGATAAACTTGAATAGATATGAAGGATAAACTTGAATAGATATGAAGGATAAACCTGGATAGATTTGAAAGATAAACCTGAATAGATATGAAGGATAAACCTGGATAGATATGAAGGATAAACTTGGATAGATATGAAGGATAAACCTGTATAGATATGAAGGATAAACTTAAATAGATATAAAGAATAAACCTGGATAGATATGAATTATAAACCTAGATAGAAATGAAGGATAAACTTGAAAAGATATGAAAGATAAACCTTGAAAGATATGAAGGATATACTTGGATAGATATGAAGGATAGACTTGGATAGATATGATTAATATACCTGGATATATGTTATTAATAAAACCTGGAAAGATACTAAGGATAAACCTGGATAGATATTATTAATAAAACCTGGAAAGATACTAAGGATAAACCTGGATAGATAGCGCTTTTGGGTCTAAAATATGAATTTTAATAGCATACATTTAAATTTTGTGTTTTCATGAGAATGATAAAATCTCTGTCTTTAACCTAAGAAAGCCTGGAACATTTTAGAATCTTCAGTACAAAAGTTATACTGCACAGTTTAGTATGCATTATTTAAGTCCTAACTACGCTTCAATATATGATTAATTGATTGTTTATGGGGTTGGATTATATTCAAGTAGATGCATACAATACATTTATCTAACATCAGATATATTCAGCCCTCAGCTCCTGGATAGAAAGTGAGAATACAATAGGTCCTGGAATCCAGTAGGGGAGGAGAGTTCTATTTAACCCTGGAGTCATTAATTAGATTAGTTTATCACCAGTTCAAGTCTGGTTAGGGGTACAAATAGATTACTTCTTCTTTTATTATTTTAAGCCGACCATCGAAATATTTCTAATTAAAAGGGAAAAAATAAATTAAAATTTTTGAAATACTTTTGAAAACAAAACATCAAAGAGTTTAAAATGACAAATAAACTATTAAACAATTTAATTTAATTAATTTGTCATTACTTACGTTGTTCATTAAGCTGTGTACTTACAGTTTACAGTGTAGTTTAATAACTTTTCATAGATATTGTTGAATATATCACAAATAATTGGACGTTATTTCTATTTTTTATTTTTTATTTTGAATATTTTTTGTTGTTTCAGGTTTGTTTGTCGAGTGGTGGGTTTGATCTTGTTCTGGATGGAGGAGAAGCTGACCCCGCCTTCCTAACATCACGTATGGATGGACCAGCTACCCACCTCCCTCAACTCCTCAAGCATCCCGGGGGCGCTCCCCTTTCCAGTACTCGCTGTGCTCACGCCACCCTACCTCTAGATTGGAATCTCAGTACACCTTTAGACCAGGATCTGTTTGAGCTGATTAATCGTCTTCAGAGCAGCAGATTAGGAAAAAACCTTTATTCTTTATAAACATTAATATTCTTTAGTCTTAAATATACGCATTACTATCATGCCCCCCCCCCCCCTAATGCTCTAGTTTATATATTTTGTATTCATGTTCCGCCGCAAAGATATTGGTTTTTACTCCAATACTCCCAACAACAGTTCGGATATTTTATTTTTTCCCTCATTTTCAGCACTGAGAAGGAAATTACAGAGCGGGCAATCTTTTATCACTCATTTTTGTTGCAAAATTTGCCGTCATAGTTATACGAGAGGCTTGGGCGGGGGAAGATGGTATTTTTTTCATCTAAATTAAAACATATTGACTCATTTCTCACTGGTTTTCTGTTAATTCCTACTTATATTTACCATACATTTTCCTTATTTTTCTCATCAGTTTTTCATGTTTTCTGATGATTCCTTCTTGTTTTCTGATAACTTCAACCAGTTCCCGCCTTTTTTCTTAAACTTTCCCCTATTTCTAAGAGTTTCCCCCTGTTTTTATAACTGCTTTTTTAATAGTTTTACCTTGTTTTCTGATAGTTTTACCATGTTTTCTGATAGTTTTAACCATGTTTTCTGATAGTTTTACCATGTTTTCTGATAGTTTTAACCATGTTTTCTGATAGTTTTACCATGTTTTTTGATAGTTTTACCATGTTTTCTGATAACAACATGTTGCTGAAAATTTCCCCCTGGTTTTCTGATAATTATTGGTAGTCTAGAATATTGGTTTTCTAGACGATCAACGGTGCAGTATGCCCGGACCAGGGAATAATCTTGCATCCTGGCCCCCATCCAGGCAGAGGCTTGAAGCAGTTCTCCGATCCTCTCCTCCGTACCCCCTCGTTGTTCTCCCGTCGGAGGGAGGGTTCTGGGTCGATCCCTCCGACCAGCGGAGTCATGATTCCAGCTTCGATAGCGAGGGTAACCCAGTGATCAGTGATAGTTTGCTGGCTGAGCACGAAGATTCACCGTGCCGAACCTACAGAGCTCATTTCCTACAGTCGGAACATTTCAACTTCTGTGGTTTAGAGGAGGGTGTCGGACCCATGGTTCTCAGTGTCAAGTATTATTGTGACACGGAGAACCAAGATAACCATATCCGGATTATACTCCGGCTCACTACAGGAACTCAACACAAGCTCATCCGGGCAGATGGACTTCCGGATCATCCCTCTCCGATACATCTAGCTAAACTTGTATCCCCGGATATATCCATCTCAACCCTGCAACCCGTACTGTGCCCCAGGGCCTCAGAACTACTTCTAAATTTTGACGAGTAAGTATATTTCTGTCCAAGTTTACGCTCAGATGGATCCACGCTTTTTAAACCTTGAGTTTGAAAAGCTCACGTTCTGCATTTGGACTTTTTACTCTGGTACTACATACTTCAGTTTTCTATTTACAATATACATTCATTCAATCCTACACTTTTTATATTCATCATGTATATACATAGTATATACATTGAAGAACATTAAAGTTTAAAGGGAGAGACCGGCTAGACATGGTAGTTGAGCTGAAAGTGCAGTATTGTGGAGAAAAACTCTAGGATTCATTTGATACCAATGAGAAGTCGTTTGTAATATTTCACCAGTTGTTTCAGTCAGCAGAAAAAACGTTTCTTGAAATTATTTAATAACCCGGAAAAAACATGTAAAAAAAAACATTTTATAGACTAATTTGCTGTTCAGGAACACATTTCTTAAAGGAATTATCGATCAAAGTCATAGTAAACTATAGAATCGATCATTTCAATATCATCATTACTTTTGCTGTTCCAACAAACGACCCTAGCTAAAAGAATTTGCATAAACCTGCGAGATTTTGAACTGAATTTTATTAACTTGTTTTGTTGCATGTTTTGTCCACATTATTTAAGAATTGTAAAAAAATGTATTTTCTGCTGACTGAAACAACTGGTGAAATATTACAAACGATTACTTTATACTCTTATTCAGAAATTGTACACAAAAAATGTCTCATTGGTATTAATTGAATCCTAGAGTTTTTCTCTACAATACTGCACTTTCAGCTCGACTACCATGCGTCTTGCCGGTCTGTCCCTTTAAGAGAGTAAGAAGGAAAAAAATGGATTTTATTTTATTCTACATTCTTTTAAAATAATATTGCAGTTGCATTCCATGCTCTTGATTTGGATGAAATTTACAAAACTGTAAATCGGGTTGGATTTGAATCATATTAAAGAAATATTGATGAAATCCGTACATGCAATGTTTCCACCCGAAGGAGGGGCCGGGGAAGTGATCATGATCAAATCTTAAAAAAATTTAAAAATTGCTGTAGATGAGAAATAAATTGGTATGGGCTCCCTGGGTATTTGTCATGAAACTTGGTTCAACATGGATAATTCGAGATTAGCTTAAGAAAGTATATATATAAAAATATATATAATATATATCTCTAAAACTTATTTAACAAAATTTTTTGATCTTGAAGTATCCGTATTCTCTCGTTTCTCCTTTACACCTAAATCTTAGATTCTTTATCAATGTATATTTCCTGTATCCTATCTTCTTTATCTTTGCCTATACCTCCTTTATCCTAACTTCTATATCTTTGCCTATACCTCCTGTTTCCTATCTTATTTATCTTTGCCAATACCTCCAGTTTCCTATCTTCTTTATCTTTGCCTATACCTCCTGTATCCTCCTATATTTCCTGAATCCACCTACACCTTCTTTGTCCTCCTTTATCTCCTGCATCATCCTTTATATTCTGTATCTTTCCATATTTCATGTATCCTCCTATATCTCCTGTATCCTCCTATATCTCCTGTATCCTCCTATATCTCCTGTATCCTATATCTCCTGTATCCTCCTATATCTCCTGTATCCTATATCTCCTGTATCCTCCTATATCTCCTGTATCCCATATCTCCTGTATCCTCCTATATCTCCTGTATCCTCCTATATCTCCTGTATCCTTCTATATCTCCTGTATCCTCCTATATCTCCTGTATCCTCCTATATCCTCCTATATATCCTGTATCCTCCTATATCTCTCCTCCTATATCTCCTGTTTCCTCCTACATCTCCTGTATCCTCCTATATCTCCTGTATCCTCCTATATCTCCTATATCCTCCTATATCTCCTGTATCCTCCTATATCTCCTGTATCCTCCTATATCTCCTGTATTCTCCTATATCTCCTGTATCCTCCTATATCTCCTTTAACCTCCTATATCTCATGTATCCTCCTATATCTCCTGTATCCTCTTACTATCTTCTATATGTATCTTGTATCATATATAAAATTTCATTTATCCTACGTATGAAGTGTATAAACTGTGAATACCTATGACCTGCTGCGAATGCTAGATTGAAACCTTGTATTCATTTGTTATCCACCCCCTGTANAACAAACCAAACCAACTCATGTATACTCTATTTAAAACCTCATCATTTATAATGTTTCGTAATCGCACAGATAACTTTCCTTTACATTTGCTAGTTACTACATCATTAAACACGAATATGATATTTAGTTATTTTTTGCAGTTTTTCGATCGATTTTATTTTAATGCGGAATCTACATCCTTTCTGTGGAACAACATCCGGATTCCGAATACGTGCATCCTGATTTGGAATTTGTATTTTGTAGTAATTGCAATCTATATATGTGCTTTTTATCAGTGCTAATTAGGCATTTATTTAAATACAAATAGTGAACCATGTGTATTGTGTAAGTGTGTACTGTGTAGGCATGTACTGTGTTAAAGTTCTTATTGTGTACCCATGTTTAGGCATATACTTTAATACAAGTACTAATTGTGTACCCATGTTTAGGCATATACTTTAATACAAGTACTAATTGTGTACCCATGTTTAGGCATATACTTTCATACAAGTACTAATTGTGTACCCGTGTTTAGACATGTACTATATGAACGTACTAATTGTGTACCCATGTTTAGACATGTACTATATGAAGGCACTAATTGTGTGCCCATGTTTAGACATGTACTATATGAAGGTACTAATTGTGTGCCCATGTTTAGGCATGTACTATATGAAGGTACTAATTGTGTATCCATATGTTTAGGAATGTACTATATAAAGGTACTAATTGTGTACCCATCTTTAGGCATGTACTATATAAAGGTACTAATTGTGTACCCATATGTTTAGGAATGTACTATGTTTAAGTACTAATTGTGTACCCATGTTTAGGCATATACTATATGAAGGTACTAATTGTGTACCCATGTTTAGGCACGTACTAGTGAACAACTTCAAGTTTGGTGTTGTCTACCAGCGTGTCGGTCAAACCACAGAAGAAGCTCTCTTCGGGAACAGAAATCATAGTCCAGCCATGGAGAGGTTTCTTGAGATGATTGGTAAGTTATATTAAACTTTCGCGGATTTAAGATCATAGAAAATTTAAAGGGACTGTAATCGTAATTTCAAGTCACTCCATGTAAAGATGAGAATGTCCAATTTACAGTGGTACTCTATAAGATAATCATTATGATGAATTAAAAAAATATAGATCTTCAACCCAAACCTTCCACATGAATGAGCAAAGAAAGGTTTCTAGGGTACAGTTGTGAATCGTCCAAGTTTCTTTAAAAATTAAGGTTGCTTAAAATTACGCATTCAGTCCCTTTATAAACGACATCTTTTAATGATTGTTATATTGTCAATCAAAGACTGCTTAGTGCTTATGGTTTATCCACTATACAAGGTTACCAACAAAGGATGAGACTTCGTACTTACATTAATGGTTTCCTACAGCTTTTTACTTTTTTTCTTTTCCTTAGCTAAACCTGATTTTAAAAGTTCATAAGAGTCCTCATGCTTTGTGGGTAACCCTGTATGGTCTCATTAAACCCTGTTCATTAAATACTTTATTAAATCAGTTCAAAAACTTATTTGAGGGTTGATTTACTCTTGAGTTTTGACACACGTCCCTGAAAAGGGATTGAAAAATGAGTAGAGAGGGTTGTGTTACGTCAAACCCATGCAGTTCCGAATAATTGCAATATTTAGCATAATCTAAGTTTTCAAATGAACGTCACGAAGTTGTCTGTCATTTATTTGTAAATGTGTTTCTCATGGATATTATATTATAGGACGACGCGTCCTACTCTCAGAGCATACAGGATACAGAGGAGGGTTGGATACACAGTTCGGACAAACAGGGGAGTACACCTTCTACACAGACCACCAGGGGAAGGAGGTTATGTTCCATATTGCCACTCTTCTTCCCTTCTCCGAGACCGACACCCAGCAGCTCCAGCGCAAACGGCATATTGGGAACGATATCGTGAGCATCGTTTTTCAGGAGGGATCCACTCCCTTCACTCCAGACATGGTTACCTCGCACTTCCTTCACACATACATCGTGGTCCAACCCATAGAAGGAGATAGGTATAGAGTCAGTGTCACAGCACGGGAAGATGTTCCTTACTTTGGTCCTAGTCTCCCTAGTCCTGCAGTCTTTAGACGGGGCTCGGAGTTCCGAGAGTGGTTGCTCTGTAAACTGATAAATGCTGAGACAGCTAGTTATAAAGCTGAGAAGTTTAGTAAACTTGAACAGAGAACTAGAACTTCTCTCCTCTCAAACCTTGTTGAAGAACTAACCTCAAAAACTTCGGATTTTCTTGGAATTCCGCCGGCAGAGTCTAGCTTGAAGAATGAAAAGGCGGAAGAATCTGGCGGTATTTTTAAGAGTGTGAAGAAGGCGTTTGCCAGTCGGACAAAGAGTTCAGCTTTGAACGATTTGACGGGATCAAAAATCATTCCTAAATCAAAATCGAGTAACACCGGTTTCTCCAATAGCAGTCTAAACCCGGAGATGGAGGAGGGAGGGAGGAGGGGACTCCTCGCCCCTGGTCGGAGAGGTACTAAATCAGACAGTGGGCGTGGTAGTGTTGGAACCGGAAGTGTGACGTCGTCCACAGGGCGTGGTTCGTCTCCCATCTCCTCCTCCTCCTCCCCCGACCTAACAGCAAGGATGGGTCCAACTATGCACTCGGAGTCGGACACCTCTAGTCTGAACAGTATAGAGTACGAGCAGAACTCCAGAATATCTCCTAAGAAACGTGTCTCACTATCTGCTGGTATGGATCGTGGAGTAGCTCTAGACCCCGCCTGTCAGGAAGTTGTTAGCGGAGCTGTTACAATGGTGACCCTGGAGGGAAATGCAGTGGCTGGTCAACTCTCTAAACTCCAGGATGAAGTTTCTAAACTTAAGGTTGATAAACTAGAGTTACTCAGACAAAATGTTGCAGCACAAAGAGAAGTTAAAAGGTAAAATATCTAGACAACATTTTATAACTCCGTCTCTTAAAGAGATTATCAACCTAAAGTCATGTATGATCAACAAATATCTTGAACTAAATATTTCTGGAAGCAGAAACAGAGGCTCATTGTTGTCAATTATCTGAAAGGAAAGAGTTTCAGTAAAATACTGTTGACAGTTCCTTTAGATTAAATTATATCTCTACTTTTTATTGTATTTATTACTTGAAATGTTCGTATGTCTAGTTAGATAATGATTTATGAGAACGGTCCTAACTCAAGGAAGTTATTTCGCATGGATATTTAGCATTCCAAATTCTAGTGGTCTAAAGATTTCCATTCCTTTGATCCATAGGGTGTCCAAAGAATATTTAAGTCCCCTTCCTTTGTGCATATGGTGTCCCAAGAATGTTGCATCCTCATTTCTTTGATCCAAAGTTTCTCAAAAGATTGTTAAATTTTTACTTTGAAAGATTGTTAAATTCAAAAGAAATTTAATTCCATTACTTTGATCCAACAAGAAAAATTTGATTCAATTCCTTGATTGGACCCACAGGGTGTCACAAGCATATTCGAATTTTAAAATCTATTCGCTGAAGTGAAGTTATTTATATGAGTGTAAACTGTAAACTAAGTGAAATTAAGTATAACTATGAAGCTGTTTTTACGAATAGTCTCTAGACAGCCTGCATATTGACGACCTGTTGGGACCCGGGGGTTAATGTCTTTATATCATGAACTCTATGTAAATTATTGGGATAATTTCTGGGTTGGATACAGTTCATAGTTCTATCCAAGGGAGTGAGGGGGGGGGAGAAAGTAGGGTCGTGTGTCTAGTTTATAAATATGCAAGATAAAGAGTTTTAAACTGGTACTCCACATGTACATTGTATATTATACAACCTAAACCTAGTGCTCCACATGTACATTGTATATTATACAACATAAACCTAGTGCTCCACATGTACATTGTATATATAACAACCTAAACCTAGTGCTCCACATGTACATTGTATATTATACAACCTAAACCTAGTGCTCCACATGTACATTGTATATTATACAACCTAAACCTAGTGCTCCACATGTACATTGTATATTATACAACCTAAACCTAGTGCTCCACATGTACATTNCCAACTCCCCCCCCCCGCCATCTCTTCTCCCTCTGTCTAAGTGTAGTAAGACTGCCTAGTTTAAATATTTCGCCTATGCCTGAATAATTAGTTTGCCCTTGCCAATTAGAAACTGAATTTGGCCTCGCTTCTATCAGTTCTAATATTGGGGGAAGAGAGAAGAATTGGTAGCTTCCAATACTCTAAAATAGTTTGGAGGGTGGGGGGTATATTTGTAATCGAACTTGCTTTTTTACTTCAAGAAAACTAATCTTTTGAAAGCTGACCTTTAAGACCTCAAATATAAAATATTTATTTTTTATTCATAGTTGGTTTATTGGATAATTTTACATCCATGTAATAGATTTTCATTCATCCATCTCAGCTTTTCATCCATTCATCCATTCCATTCTTTCTTTTATTCATTCTACTATCCATCCAACATCTATGCATTCAACCAAACATACACCTAACCATCTTTCCATTCATCAAATTTTTTCATCCATACATCTAATCGATCTATTCTATACCCAGCATCCATTTATCAATCCTTATATTGATAAAAAATCCATTTATCCAACTCATCCTTACATTTATTCATCCTTCCCACATTTCCATTCATCCATTTAACATCCATCCTTTTAACATCCATCCATTTAACATCCATCTATCCATTTAACATCCATCCAACCAACCATCCATCTCTGCATGTTGCTCAGCTGAATTTAAATGCGTAAATTCTCTTCTTGTGTTTAAAACTTATATTCTCTTCCAGGTTTTTACTTGTAATCTGAGACAAACTAGTAATAGTTTATATTCACACCTTTCATCGTTGTCATCCGGGGGGCTTAGTTCAAGGATATTAGGGGGTGTTGACACCCTGCCCCCTCCCTCCCTCTTCAATTTAGGTCTATAATTATATTTCTATTTCAGACTGCGTGAGAGAGAGTTACAGCTTCAAAGTGATCTCACAACTGCGTCTCGTGAGATAAATCGTCTCCGCATTAATCTGAAACAAACCAATCTTACTCATACTAGATTACAGGGTCAGGAGGATAACCTGGAGAAACATTAGTCAACCCTAACCCTCGTCAAGTGATGTACAAAATAACCAATCCGAGCCTAATCAACCAAATACCCTGGATAAGAGCCTATATCCTACCTAAGAAGAAGGTTATTAATCTCTTCTTATTTCTCCGGGTATTAAAATTATAGTGAAGAAAACAAGAGGATAATCGGATACACTTTATACCAATCCTCAAAACACGAATCTTTAAACAGTGCTCTGGGAGAATATTATTATCCTACTCAGGATTAAACCTTGAACCCTGCAGTATAAATCCAGGAGACAGGAATAAACCTAAAACTAGTCCTTTGATTCCAATGGAAATAAAAAATTATCCAAAGTTAATCAAACTCAAAACGAAGAAATCACCGAATTCTTTTGTAATCCTGATTTTTAATCGTTCGTTGAAGCAAATTTTGTTTAATGTTAACATTGTTAAACCCTGTTTATGAAGTTATATCGGAAACATATTTGGGAATTGGATGATCGCCTACTCGTGTTAAATATTAAAACTTCTCAATGTTGAAACTGTTGAAAGCACAAGTTAAATTTAATATTGATGTTATTTAAAAAACTGTTACAAATTATCTGTGATATCCTCAGTCTGTTGGTGTTTATGTTTATGTACATATATATATAAATAGTTTGTACAGTGTTGCTACTCCTGCAGTACATATGTATTTTTTTAGCCTTGATTAAATATTTTTGTACCGGTGTAATTCAGTTAATAAAAACAATTCAGCACTTTCATTAATATATTTTTAGAAAACTAATGAAGACAGATAATGGGACTGTAAGTTTGTTTCAAGTGACCCCTCTTGCAAAGATCGCAATTTTTATTGGATACTAAACTGTTAAAAAAAATTTACATTTAATTATGTCCTGTTAAGAACTTAAGAACGCGAAGTGTTCCGAGAGTAAGATTTCTCTCCTAATACATAATTAATTCCTACTTTAAATTCTTAAGAGAATAGCGACGCTGCGTGCCGATCAATTATTTAGGATATTAACAGACAGAAAGTCAATAGCAGATAACTAGAAAACTGAACAATAGCAAGAAATTCTAATTTTCTAATCCCTATAACCTGGCAATCTGATGGTGATCTTTTATATTTTAGACTATTTGATCCAGCACAATTCATTGTTGAAATAAAGGTTTCTTTATTTTTAAATTTGTTAAGGTGGTCATGACACATTTTTAGCTTTTTTAAAAGGTGGATCTGTTTCAACCAGACATGACGCATTTATCTGTTTCAACCAGTCAAGACACATTTTTACCTTTTGTTAAGGTGGGTCTGTTTCAACCAGTCACGACGCATTTTTACCTTTTGTTTAGGTGGGTCTATTTCAACCAGTCATGACGCATTTTCACCTTTTTTTAGGTGGATCTGTTTCAACCAGTCATGACGCATTTTTACCTTTTTTTAGGTGGATAGACATGACGCTTTTTCACCATTTGTTTAGGTGGATCTGTTTCAACCAGTCATGACGCATTTTTACCTTTTGTTTAGGTTGATCTGTTTCAACCAGTCATGACGCATTTTTACCTTTTGTTTAGGTGTATCTGTTTCAACCAGTCATGACGCATTTTTACCTCTTGTTAAGGTGGATCTGTTTCAACCAGTCATGGCGCATTTTCCCTTTTGTTTAGGTAGATCTGTTACAACCAGTCATGACGCATTTTTACCTTTTGTTTAGATGGATCTGTTACAACCAGTCATGACGCATTTTTACATTTAGTTTAGGTGGATCTGTTTCAACCAGTCATGACGCATTTTTACCTTTAGTTTAGGTGGATCTGTTTCAACCAGTCATAACGCGTTTTTACCTATCTGGAAAAATTGTAAATTTGAAAAATTATGATAGTTTCCGGGTGTTTAATGGTAATCACTGGCTCATTGTACATACGATTTTAAACCCAAGATGATCATTTTAGGAAAGAAAAGAAAAGAGTCTGGAAAAAAAGAATTATGATGACTGAGGAAAGTTTTTGAGATTTTTGTGAGATTAGAGGTTAAACAGTTTTTTAGATGAGTGAGCCATGCAGAGCCAGGACCATGGCATAACACTAAAACAGTGTTGAATGGGATTTATTGTTCGATCCGATCCTGTCCACTTTTAGGACTGAGTCCTAGTAGCTATTTACTTTTTAGTAATAGTTTGCTATTATTAAAATATCAGATTTTAAAGTTTGTAGCGAATGTTCGTAGATATAGTTATTTTGATGTTCTTCTAAAATTTTGAACATTATTATCTTAAAGTTAGAAAGAAAAATCTCTTTTTGCGTGTATTTGTTTCTCTTATTTACAGTGTAACCCGAACAACTGTGGAATAAGAAGACGACAGCAAGGCTTAAGTTATGAATTCAAATAGTTCAATAAACATGATACACGGTAATTGCGCAGTGTACACAGACCTATTTCACTTAATGAGTTGATTTTAAACCTATTGGTAAAATTATTAGAGCTTTATTACTGAATTCATACACACAAAAGATTGGCGAAATGTCGTCATCCTATACCAAAGTTTGCAGGGTCCCGCCGGTATAGAGAGTTTTCTTTTTTAGATTTATAAGTGCCCCGTGCATTGCTGAGAATTATGTGTTAAATTGAATATTTATTTGGTTTTTTTAAGTGTGTCATTAAATCAATGTTAGTGCTACTATCGCGGGGTTGAAAGGTTTCAAATTGCGATAAATTTTGCAAAATTTTAAATTACCATAAATTTGTGCACTAACAGTAAGAGCCGCTAGAAATGTAGGAGAATAAAATAGTATTGATTAAAATCAAATTATAATTTTTATTTATTCAAGAAAACTAAGGTTTAATTAAAATTTATTTTAATGATATTTTAAATCTTTCTTATTTTACTTCTGTTGAAAAAGTTAAGCGTGCCATACTTCATGCTTCAGCAATCATTTTATTTTACAAATAGAATTCTTCTAACAATAATTACAACATTCTTCTAGTCTTAGGATTTCCAAAATGTGGTCTGCTCTCCGGAAATTTTGAAAGCCCAAAAATGGCAGGACTAGGAAAATTTTGTGATTATGGTTTTCAATGATTGCTGTAAATTATTTCCAAGATCAAAATTAACCTTTCAGGATCGCCTCTTAACTGTCATGTTTCCTGGGACACCCTGTATATCAACAACAAATTAATTATTTTATTTTTTTATCAAAATAAAAATAAGACGATGAGAGTTCCACTGTTTTATGGTTCTTCCTGTATAAATTTCAGACTTAGTATTTTTAATCTTTTAGCAACGAATGATCCAAAAAGGGATTTTTTTGGTGTTTTGTTACAAGATTGAAATACACTTCTTAAACTAATTTAAAAGATTGAAAAAGATCTTGTTAAAATGTGTTTATTGATTAAAAATGGATTTTTCCCCACAAATCTAAACAATTTCAAGAACAATGAATATGGTGCCTATCCTGAGATCATGTTTGCAAAAGAAAAGGTGAAAGAATGCATTTATTTTGCAAGGAAGTGAACTATGCAGCTTAATCTCCCAACATTATTTGTAACTTGCAATAAATCTTGAGAGTAAGAAGACTGTCCAGTGCTCATCTATTTAAGAAGTTACATACCCTGTTCACAATGATACTCTTTACCCCCTTTTTTCAGCAAAAATATTCTTATTTTTTTATCTGAAATAAGATAGTTTACAATAGTGAATTCTTTACAATAAAATTGACATGGCGGTTTGATCCAGCAGATATAATGAAGGAAATTGACAGAATTTACTTCTTTTAGATACACGGTTATCCACAAAGGGTGTGACTTCAGAGACGATTGTACGGAATTTGTTTAGTTTGTTCTCCTGTATTCCGGGTTCCTTGTAGGCCAACACTAGCTTGTTATTGTGATTCACTTAGTAAACCATTAAATAACTCAATTGAATGTAGAAACCAAAAATCAAGCTTCAAATCGTCATATTTTTAGAGTTTTGGGTCGTCTTTACAGTCTCATCCTTTGTTTCTAACTCTGAGTATAACAAATATCTTGCTCATTGATACTTAAATATAGATTTAAAGGATTTAGTAATCTAACAAGGCTACGTTTTTTGCTCTAAACGTGCTGGATCGACTCTAGTCCAGACTGGACAGTACGACTAAGTACATATACAGTACATGCTGTACCGGCTCGGATCATGCAGCTTTTAGAGTTTGGTGTAATAAATTGGGTACACCCTCAACCAAGCTTTAGGTGTGTACTGCTTTCTATAGACATCAAAGATAAATATGAGGATAAAGTGTGTATAGTGTTCTACCTATGTGCTCAGTTAGCTGTACTGTACACTTACAACTGTTTACTAATATTGATATACTATATAATAAATAAATATGCAGTACGCTCTCGGTATAGTTTATGGCTTAGACAATTAGTAAAGGATTAGCGTACATCATCACTCTATACACTATAACTTCGTTGGTGTGTACCAGTAATAAGATGTAAAAAAATACTTCAAATAATTTTTTATTCTCAGAGACGACAGTAAAGAATTTAGTAAGTCTCTTTTTCTTAAATGCATGGTTCCCTAGAGTACAGTTGAAACTGGTTTCTTTCCATAGGAAAATCATTTGTTATATCCTTACAAGGCATAAGCATATGCTAAACCATCAGATTTAAAGAGCTTTATTACAGTCGTATTCTTGGTGGATAACCCTGTACACAAATGTTTGTTGTTTGCATCCAATAAACCTCAAAACGGCTGAACCGAACGGGATAAAATTTTTGAAGAATCTCATAGATAACCCCAGGGAAGGGCCATGGAAGGTTGAAATTTCAAAAATGTCTAAAAATATTCCAGTTCTTCCTGTAGATAGTTAAGCAAGGGTTAGGATTATCAATATTAGAATAAGGGGCGCAACGCGGCACATGTGGGCCTAGTAAATTATAGAGATATAAAACTATAAAACTATAAAGATATGAAGTAACCTCTATAAATGGCAGTTTGATAATCCTATCAAACACGTATATGACGTACCAAAACTAAATTTAATGTCGTTCTTATCTTGAATCCTAATTCTAGCTATTCATCCCGATACATTCTAGTTATTCATCCTGATACATTCTAGCTATTCAACCTGAAAAATTCTAGTAATTAATCCGAATACATTCCAGCTATTCATTTTGTTATATCCTAGCTATTCATCCTGCTACATTCTAGATATTCAGCCTGATAAATTTGAATATACATCCTGAAACATTCTAGTAATTCATCCTAATACATTCTAACTCTTCATCCTGATATATCTTAGATATACATCCTAATTCATTCTAGCTATTTATTCTGTTATATCCTAGCTATTCATCTTGGTACATTCTAGATATTCATCCTAATACGTTCTAGCTATTCATCCTGATACGTTCTAGCTATTCATCCTGAAAAATTCTAGTAATTCATCTTGATATGTCTTAGCTATGCATCCTGATACATTCTAGCGTATTTATTCTGATATATCCTAGCTATTCATTCTGCAACATTCTAGATATTCATCCTGATAAATTTTAGCTTTTCATTCTGATACATTCTACCCATTCATCCTGATACATTCTAGCTATTCATTCTCAAACATTCTAGCGATTCATCCTGATATATTCTAGTTATTCATCAAGACACAATCTGGCAACTCATCCTGATATATTCTAGCTATTCATCCTGATACATTCTAGCTATTCATCCTGATACATTCTAGATATTCATTCTAATATATCCTAGCTATTCATCCTGGTACATTCT